AGAGAGCCGATTTTACTATATCAAGGAGATTACAGATTACAGAGGAGTATGAGAAGTATTTATAGTACTTCTCCATGTGGGTCTAAACCTAATCCAATCTGACAAAGGAAACGGTTACAGACCAGGCCCAGAACCCGAACCCAAATAACATTGAGCCCATACACCGATTACCAGTCGTAGCGGCTGATAGTCCGATTCAAGTCATATCAACAAATCTCCACCTTGACTTGAATCCTCTTCCTCTGAAATCTCTGATGTACTCTGCTCCTTCTCTCTCTCCCGCCATCAATGCCCCGTAGGGCGGAGTCACCCACTCAAGACATTCAGCAAGTCCAAGTAGTGTTGGAACTTGCCATGTGGAACCGGCTTCGTGAACATATCAGCAGGATTATCCGCGGTGCCAACCTTCTTCACCTTAATCCTCTTCTCTGTCCTCAAGAAATGATACCTCACATCGATGTGCTTAGTCCTCTCATGGTGGACTTGATCCTTGGCCAAACATATTGCACTCAAACTGTCGCAATACACCACTGCCTGATCATGATGTAGACCCAGATCACCAACCAGCCCCTTCAACCATATTCCCTCCTTAGCAGCTTCTGTTAACGCCATATACTCTGCCTCAGTAGTAGACAATGTCACCGCCGACTGCAGAGTTGCCTTCCAACTCACTACAGAACTCCCAAGAGTGAATACATAACCGGTCATTGATCTCCTCGTGTCAACATCTCCAGCATAGTCTGAGTCAGAATACCCAGACACCAAGCACTCTGCATCAATTCCGAAGCTAATTCCCACATCAGGTGTACCCTTAAGGTACCGGAAGATCATCTTCACAGCCTGCCAATGCTCCTTCCCATGTTGTATCATAAACCTGCTGACAACACTAACAGCATGTGCAATATCAGGTCTAGTGCATACCATAGCGTACATCAAGCTACCTACTGCACTAGCATATGGGACTCTCGACATGTACTCCTTCTCAGCCTCTGACTGCGGTGCATAAGCTGAGGATAGATGAACATTTGAAGCACTAGGAGTATTTAAGGGCTTTGCTGAAGACATGCCAAACCTCGACAGTATCTTCTGGATGTAGCTCTTCTGTGACAAGAAAAGCTTCTTCTTCAACCTGTCCCTGTAAATCTCCATACCCAAGATCTTCTGAGCAGCTCTCAAATCCTTCATCTCAAACTCAGCACTGAGAAGCCCCTTTAACTTCTGGATATCAGACTTTGACCTCGCAGCTATGAGCATATCATCCACATACAGAACTAGATATATCATCGAACCATCCTCTGCCTTGCTGTGATATACACAACAATCATATGGACTTCTGTTGTAGCCCAGCTCAAGCATGTAACTGTCAAATCTCTTGTACCACTGCCTCGGAGATTGCTTAAGTCCATACAAGGACTTCTTCATCTTACAAACATAGTCTTCTTTTCCCGGAACCTCGAATCCTTCTAGCTGAGTCATGTAAATTTCTTCTTCCAACTCTCCATGTAGGAAAGCTGTCTTCACGTCTAGCTGCTCGAGCTCCAAGTCATAATGTGCCACTATTGCTAGTAGCACTCTGATCGAAGTATGTCTGACCACTGGTGAGAAAATCTCATTATAGTCAACTCCTTCCCTCTGCGAGAAGCCTCGTGCAACCACCCGAGCTTTAAATTTCATGCCCTCTTTAGAAGTGTTTCCTTCCTTCTTCTTATAGATCCACTTGTTTGTAACAATCTTCCTTCCCTGTGGTCGTTTGACTAGCTCCCAAGTCTGATTCCTGTCATGGGATTCCATCTCATCTCCCATTGCGGCAAGCCACTGATCAGCTTCACCACCCGAAACTGCTTCTCTATAGGACTGTGGCTCTCCTGCATCCACTTCCTCAGCAACCTGAAATGAATATGCCACCATGTCCTCGAAGCCATACCTCTGTGGAGGTACTCCTGCAGTCGCTCTCTTCGGTCTACCGGAAGCAATAGACTGTTTAGCTCGTCCACTGGACTCTGAAGTTTCTGGCTCTGCAGAGACATCCTCATCATGTTGATCTTCTCCACCTTGGTGCTCAAACTCACTCTCATTGAGAGTTTGCAGCTCCACCTGCTTATCAACATTCCTGCTACCTTCAGCAACAGTAACCTTCAACATGGGGTTAAACATAGACTTCTCATCAAATATCACATTTCTACTAAGTATAACTTGATGCTCAGAAGGTGACCGGACTCGAAATCCCTTAACTCCATCTCCGTAACCCACAAATACACCCTTCTTTGCCCTTGGGTTCAGTTTACCCTCATCCACATGATAATAAACAGGACACCCAAAAACTTTCAGTGAAGAGTAATCAGCAGGCTTACCATACCACACTTCATAAGGAGTCTTACACTCGATACCTGTGTGTGGTCCACGGTTGATTAGGAAGCACGCTATGTTTACTGCTTCTGCCCAGAATCTTCTCTCTAGTCCAGCATTAGAGAGCATGCACCGTGCTCTCTCCAACAATGTCTGGTTCATCCTTTCTGCAACGCCATTCTGCTGGGGTGTATCTCTAACAGTCCGATGACGGGCAATCCCTTCATCCTTGCAGAATTCGTTGAACTCAGAACTTCAGACCATTGTCCGTTCGCAGCTTCTTGATCTTCTTACCGGTCTGATTCTCCACCAATGTCTTCCACTTCTTGAACTTCGTGAAAGCCTCACTTTTCTGCTTCATCATGAAAATCCAAGTAAATCTCGAATAATCATCAATAATAGACAGAAAATACCTGCTGCCTCCAATGGATTCAACTCGTGAAGGTCCCCAACAGTCAGAGTGGAGGTAATCTAGTATCCCCTTCGTCCGGTCGATACCCTTCTTGGGAAACTTGCTGCGATGTAGCTTCCCAAACACACAATGCTCACAGAATTCCAAATTCTGCACCTTGTGCCCGCAAAGAAGATCCCTCTTCGATAGAACTTGCATCCCCCGTTCACTCATATGCCCCAGTCTCATGTGCCAGAGAGTGGTCATATCTTCCTGTTGAACATGAGACGATGCAACTGCAGCAGAACCAGACAACACAGACCCTTGTAAAGCATACAAGGTCCCACGCTTCACGCCCTTCAGCACCTTCCTTGAACCTTTGCAGACATACACAATTACACCTTTTCCTTTGAAGCTGAAACCCTTGCTGTCGAGTAGACTCAAGGAGATCAGGTTCTTTGTCATTCGTGGAACATGCCTGACATCATTCACGGTACAGAACGAACCATCATGTGTCCGAACCTTTATGGACCCGATTCCAACAACCTTGCAGACAGCTCCATTTGCCATGACCACGTTACCACTATCTATCTGCTCATAGGTTGTGAAGCAATCCCTGTTTGGAGACATATGGTATGAGGCTGCAGTATCAAGAAACCACACATCACCACGATGTGCCTTCTCATCTACAGCCAAGGCGAGATCGTCTTCAGAACTGTTGTCCACTTCTGCACGACAACTGAACCTTGTTTCTTCTGTTGCCCTCTTCTCTTGGGACAGTTGTACTTCCAATGCCCCACTTCCTTACAGTTGTGACAGGCATCACCTGGCTGTGGACTGGGACCCTTGGAATTCTTGCTCGAATTCCCTTTACCAGATTTCTTCTTTCCCTTTCCACCTGTAACAGCCAAACCCGATACCTCACCACCTGTACCAGATCCGGACGCCTTATGTCTGATCTCTCTCGTATGAAGAGCAGACCTGACATCCTCCAACGACACGCTTTCTTTACCAGCAATAAAAGAATCAACGAAATTCTCATATGAACTCGGCAAAGAAACCAGCAGGATTAGGGCAGCATCCTCGTCATCAACTTGAACATCTATATTACGCAGATCCAGCAAAATAGAGTTAAGCTGTTCGAGATGTTCCCTCAAAGGCGTACCTTCTTGCATCCTCAAGCTGAGCAACCGTTGCTTGAGATGCAGCTTGTTGGTTAGAGACTTCGTCATATACAGACTCTCCAGTTTCAACCACAAGCCCGCGGCAGTCTTCTCAGCAGCTTGTTGGTTAGAGACTTCATCAGACAACGATAGCATGATGGTCGAGTGGGCCTTCTCCTCCAGGGTATTCCACTCATCGTCATCGACCGCTGCCTTCTTCTGTTTCGCAGACAGCGGCCCCCACAGCCCTTGCTGTTTCAATAAAGCCTGCATCTTGATCTGCCATATAGCGAAGCTGTTCTTCCCCGTGAACTTTTCGATCTTCATGTTCACCGACGTCATTCTTCTGAATCGAAAACCCTAGCCTGATTTCTAGCCGCGGCTCTGATACCACTTGTTATAAACGTGCTGCTACGGATCGGGAAATCGCCGGAATCGACAAAGTAAGAATACGAAAGCGAGAATCGAAAACACGACACACGATTTACGTGGTTCACTAACACGATGTGTGTTAGCTACGTCCACGGGCGAGAGAGAGCCGATTTCACTATATCAAGGAGATTACAGATTACAGAGGAGTATGAGAAGTATTTATAGTACTTCTCCATGTGGGTCTAAACCTAATCCAATCTGACAAAGGAAACGGTTACAGACCAGGCCCAGAAGCCGAACCCAAATAACATTGAGCCCATACACCGATTACCAGTCGTAGCGGCTGATAGTCCGATTCAAGTCATATCAACAGTAGCCATACTTGGGCGACGCCTCAGCATATCTAGTGCAATGCCTGCTCTCCCATATATAATTGTTGCTCAGTATTTGCCAAAATAATTGACATATATACAGGCAGGGTGTTTCGACAGATCAATTAAAAAAACGAGATAATTTGATCAATTGTCTGATTTTTATACAATGACTCGATTTGAAACAGAAATCGCCTCAAAATGAATCAATTTGAGAATTTTCAAACCGAATCAATCTTTTTTTTTTTTGGCAAACGAGTCAACTTGACTCAGTTATTTGAAAAAAACGAGACAATTATCTCAAATTATTTCGAGTATCTCATCAGAACGCGACCCCGACATCGAAAAATGAATGAATCAAAACTTACCGAACATTCCACGTTGGATGCAAAACTTCAGCACGCCGGCACCGTGCTTGCCGCCGTTCTCGTCGAACAGCAACCTCAGCGGAGTGACGATGTACAGCAACTTGACCAGTTCGGAATCGCCCTTCCGTGAAGCCTCTTCCACCGGCAGGGCCGCTTCCCGTTGACTTATTTTACCGCTGAAAATGGCGGCCAGGTTCTTGTTTCTGTACACCATCTCTTGCACCATCCGGCGGTGGCCGCCGGCCACCGCAATGCGAAGCGCCGTGCATCCGTCTTCGTCTTCTTTCATTTCGAGGCCCGTCCTCTTCTCTCATTGCCCGCATCAGCTCATGGCCGACCTCCGCGTGTCCGAACTTGGCCGCCAGATGGAGTCTGGTCCCCCGCCGGAGAACCGCCTCGACGCCGAATCTGGGTTTTGGCGAATCAAATCACGTAATTTGGCTATGTCACCTCGACGTATGCAGGCTTCTAGCTCCATCAAGTCCTCGTCGGCCGCCGGCTGGTTAACCTCTGCATCGCAACCACAATTATGAATATAAACACTAAATTTTTACAAAAAAAAAAAAAATCAAAACTGTTACTATAACTTTGAGACAGATTAATTATTTCTCGTCGATCGAAAGCCATAGGCCTACTCAATTAATCAAATTCTGTAATTTGTATATCCTAATCGTTTGGATGATCAATTCTAACGGATTAATATCACACAATTGTATACTACAGACAATTGGGCCACATTTACCTGTTTGGCAGCATAAATTTCAGAAGAAGCAGTTTGGTCTGGGGGAATTTCTGATTGGCACATTTTGAAACAATTACAATTACCTGGTGCGGAGACAGGTAATTCGAATTGACCCTTAAATTCTCGTTTCTTTTCTTAAAAATGAAACAATTAGCCAAATTGTCTCGCGTTTTGCAATTGATCAGTCAAAACGACCTAAATTCGTTACTAATACTTCATATTCACAGATTGACTGTGTACTACACATCGTATTACTCAATCACTTAAATCTCTACGTTGTCCATTTCTCAATTCATTACCACGAAACGGAATGGTTTTACCTTGTACGTCGACATTTCCCGTTGATGGGAGCTCCTGAACATCAACCATCTCTGCCGCCTGTTCGCCACACAAAGTGGCGAGCGCCACCCAAGCTTGCTTGGCGGAAGAAATCCCCCTGTTTGTGCCTAGTAAATACTAGGCGGTTTGTGGAGCTGGAGCGAGGCGTCTGCTCCTGGATAGAGGAGGACACTCCAGATACTCTGCAAAACAAGGGTCCGGGGCGGTTGCCCGGGATGCCCTCCGAAACTTAAGTTAGAGAGACAAAGGGAGAAGAGATAGATTTATGATAGAGAGATAAGTAGTAGTTGGGTTTACCATTAATGCACTCACTCTGTATTTATACCTGGTTTGAGGGTGGTTGAGGCATTAAATGCCATGTCAGGCGCCTTGAGCCGTGTCAGGCGCCCTGAGCAGGCTTTTAGCCTTTCTGCAGGCCGCCTGTGGGCGGCAATAAATGGTTAGTCTCACCTGACACAGGATATGTATCTCAACGGCTCTTTGCCTTTCTGTATCAGTCAGTCGCTTTATGTCAGGCGCCCTTATCTATTTTTCGGGCCTAGAGTCGGTCAAGGACCGCCTGTTGACCCGGTCTTTTTGGTCGGGCCAGGTTTCCTTATTGGGCCTTATCTGCTGACTCACCCCTCTCGGGCCCGAGGCCCAAATATGCTCAACTATGCGGCCCAACACCCCCGAATCTGCCGGAGAACGCCGCTGCCGCACGAGAACTTGATCGCGTGCAGCGCCGCCGCGTTCTTCCGCCGCCAGTCATCATCTTCTTCCGAGGAAATTGGCTGCTCGTCGTCGTCAACAATGATGAAGCCATGCCAAAGATCTCGAGAGAGGAGGTAACTCTGGAGGCAGTCGCTCCAGTCCTCATAGCTGATTCTTCCTCCTCCTCCTCCACCACCGACCTCAAGCACTTCCCTCGTGATCATAATCGCCATTAATTATTCGGGAATTATAAACTTGTAGTACTGATCGAACTGTCTTTCTCCATTGATTTAAGGAAACAGAGCTGGGAGAGGCAGAGAATAGAAGTCTGCAACTAGCATTATTTTGAATTGCAAAGAGAGCCACATGTGTTGGCAAAACATGCGTGTTTTTTTTCTTAAATTTGGAGTTTTTTTTAAGTTGTGAACATTTTCTTTAAATTTATCTTACGTGACAGACTGAAAGTCAATTCTTATAATAACCTATCAAATGTATGATGTTACAATTAAAAATAATAATAAAAAGCTAAAATTTAATCTTCTAAAATTTTTACTTCGTTATCACATTCATTAAAGGTAAAGGTGTAAAGTGAAATTATTTTTGCAATATTGATTTTACATTTAATTAATATCTGTAGATTTAACTGTATTAGAGTGAAAAAGATTGAGCTACCGAGAGTATTAACGAGTCGAGATAGGAGTTAAACTCGAACTGAGATTAGGCAAAAAAAAAATTATAAATGAGTTGAGTTCAAGATCTACTTGTATTGTAATGAATTGAGCCTGAGCTATGTTAAAACTCGATGCAACCGTAGTTGAAACTACAAATATATGGCTCTAAGATCCATTTCCTAATCTACCCCTTCCACATTAAACTGGTAATTACTTACACAAACACAAACACTAATTAACAAGTTACCCATTAGGGATGGCAATGGGTCGGGGACGGATAGTGCATATCCGTTACCCTATCCAAAGTAGTTCAGGTTTTACCCATATCCATACCCACATGTGAAACGGGTAGAATATTAAAACCATGCTCATACCCGTTCGGATTTCGGGTATCCACGGTTATCCATGGATAATAATTTCTCTTCATAACTCCAACCAATATGTTAACATTCATATGTACGTAAGAGGAAAAGTATGACAATAATTCACTAGAATGAGGAAAATTAATTAAAACAACACAATTTCATGAAAATATTATATTTATATGCTAAATATAAAATATGTTAGAGAAAAATAATGATTATTTCTATACAAAATACATATGTATGTGTATAATCAGGCGGGTTCGGGTTGGATAGTCAGAAACCCATGCCCACCCATTACCCGCAATATTCGGGTTCGGGTTTTACCCGTACCCACTAAATGTCCTTCGGGTTCGGGTTACCCTACCCGATTAGGCCGGATTCGGGCGAATATCCACGATTACAGATATTTTTGCTATGGATAGCAACGCTCTAACCGAATAATAATAAACTACCCATGTATATATTTGAATCGAATGGAATCGAATCAAATATATACCAAACACAATTTTTTTATCTGATTCTGATCCTCAGATTTTTGGTTCGTTCCTATTTCAATTTTATTCAATTATGAACTGAATCGACCCATACCCACCCAAGTCTGGTTGTTTCAATATGATTGGACGGCTACTTTGATAAAATTCAGTACACCTTCTGCAAAGTCGGAACAACCCCAATTCCCAATCCCCCAAAACCAATGGCTTCAGAATCCGAAATCGCCTTCGATTTCCCCCGCCACTTCACGGTCTACAAGGACGGACGGATCGAGAAACCCTGGACCCCGACCCAATTCTTCGTCCCGCCGGGACTCGACCCGGCCACCGGAGTCGAATCCAAAGACGTCGTCATCTCCTCCGAAACCGCCGTCAAGGCCCGCCTCTTCCTCCCCCAAATCGCCGCCGCCGCCGCCCAAATCAACAAGCTCCCTCTCATCATCCATTACCACGGCGGAGCCTTCTGCCTCTACTCCCCTTTCATCTCCCCCATCACCACCTTCCTCTCCCAACTATCCGCCGCCGCCGCCGCAATCGTCCTCTCCGTCGACTACCGCCTCGCACCCGAGCACAAGCTCCCCGCCGCCTACGACGACTGCCTCGCCGCCCTCGAGTGGGCCGCACGCCGGCCCGACCCGTGGCTGGAAGCCCACGCGGATCTGGGCCGGGTCGTGTTGTTGGGCGAGAGCGCGGGGGCGAACCTGGCCCACTACGTGGCGGTCCAGGCCGGAGCAAAGGGATTGGCGGGCCCGGGTGTGGGCCTGACCCGGATGGTGCTGGTCCACCCGTATTTCGGCAACGAGGTGCCCGACCCGTATTACCAGTACATGAGCCCAGGAAGCTGCGGGACGAAGGGGGATCCGAGGTTTCATCCCGGGTCGGATCCGGATCTGGGGAAAATGGAGGTTGAGGAGGTGATGGTTTGCGTGGCGGAGAAGGATGAGCTGAGGGAGAGAGGGGTGAGTTATTTTGAGACGATGAGGGATGGTGGTGGATACGGCGGCGTTTTGGAGTGGTACGAGACGCGAGGGGAAGGGCATTGCTTCCATTTGTTTAAGCCGGGGAGCGGAGAGGCTGGGATTCTGATGAAGAGGATTGTAGGGTTCATGAAGCAGGATTGAAAGAATGATCAATCGGGTTTTGTGGGTGAATAATTGTCAATTTGGGTATCAATCGGGGGTTTTTATGTTAAATGACTCCTTAATATCGTTGTGATTCGGTGCACTGTACGTATACAACCAACTTCTATCGAGATTTTTATTTGCTTTTCCTTGTGTTATCTATGGTTGAAAAATTAACGTTGTAGCATGTTCAGATTGGGTTAGACGATAATGGCAAAATTAGAGGACGGACAAGGTGGTCATTCAATGACGATTTTGTTGCATCGATGGTAGTTTGATGCTTGTTTAGGTTATAAACATCCGTTGAACCAACCGTCAATATTAGATGAGATGCATTCTGCAACAACTGAATTTCCACACGGGATGGTCTTTGTGCTGTGTGGATGTTGTGCTAAGTAGCGCCATCAGTCGTGGTTCGAGGCAGACCATGCACCCTTCTCTTCACACATTGTTGAATAGAAGGTTGAAGTAAAAGGTGGTAAGTTATTATTGAAAATTGAAATGGACTCAGATTATCCATCATCAATTGAAAGTTACGAAGATCTTGCTATCTATGAACATAACTAACACACATCGAATTCGTAAATTACATAAATTTATGTGTTGTTTATTTTCTTAGATAAAAATCAATCAATTTTGTGAGCATAGGCTTAGCTGATTTTGTACGCTGGGACCATGTTGTAGAGATTAAGAAGTACGGTGACCAGAAGGCAAACAGCGGTAAGTGAAGGGTGAACCAACAAATGAAGCCGCAAGAGATGTCGTCTGACGTCCGTGCTCGTTGTCGTTTTGACGCGGGATTTTGTTTTGCACTTTGCAGGGGTTTAAAGGTTAGAACTTAGAACTAGGGAGGACGGGAACAAGTAGAGAAGTGAGGGAAAGTGTTGAGGGCAAAAGGAGATTCTCGATTTTCGATTTTCATGACTGTCTGAGCATCAGAGAGGCCGAAAGGGGAAAGAGTAGAGAAGTAGAAGAGCTCGAGTTACTGAGCCAGCTGCGTCCGTCGCCGTCTCCTGGTTGCTGGCAGTTTGCTGCTGAAAATAAAAAAAAAAGCAACCCGAAAGGAACCCATTTCGGAACTGGGTTGAGTGGTTTAGTACTCGTTCCCGCTTGCGTTGTCATTACTGGGGTAACGTTGCTTAAATTTTGGTTCTTCTCTGTTTCCTGCTGAATAGAATAGCTTATAGGGTGATTGTTGCTGTGAATTGGGATGTTGTGAACTGTTTGAGCAATTTATGAAAGCTCAGCATTTCATTGTCTCTGTGCACACTATGCTGAAATTTGAGGAACCAGTAGCTTCGGGCTTCTGAGTGGTATTTCTTGAATTAAATCGGTGAAAGAATCTTAGCCGCTTGTAGTTCTTAGGTGGGTTTACCTTGTGTGTTACCGTTCGATGAGTTTGAAGGCTATGATGGTTCTTGCGTGTTCTTTGTTTTATGGTTGCATCTGTTTGTGTCATGGGAGTTTGGGAAATGGAACTCTTTTGTCTCACGGAATTGGTTCTCTTGTATGTCATCGATCACAGGCGAAAAAGGGAGGGAGACGGAGGCTGATAGGTTCGAGTTGGAAGTATTAAAAAGGCTCTTTTGGAAACCTGATTCTGGAATTTTGCTGAGTCTTGTCACGTCGAGCTGATGGGGTCTCTGGTTCAAACATCCAATTCCCCACTCATTCCTAGGGTTCGCACTTCACATCGCATCCTTGACGAAGCTCGAGTTCAATGTCGTTCAGGCGTGGTACGTTGCAAGCTACCTTTCGTTTCCACCACTTATTTTGACTGACTATTGTAATGGAAAGATATAGAAAACATATTGTACTGTCTGATGTGTTTTTTTTGGCGTATGCTCGATTGAAATGGTAACTTAAAAGTGTCTTTCTGTTTTCCTTAAGAGGTGTCGTTTGGTGGAGCCACTGAAGTTTGAGAATGGGAAACCCTCCACCCCAGCCCTTCCGGCTGGCAAAGATCCAAGCTTCTTAGCCAGGCCTCAACTAGGCAACATTGTCTCTAGAAAGAATGACACTAGGCTGCGGATATTCTCTGGCACAGCTAATCCTTCTCTCTCTCAGGTATCTCGCTCTCAAGGAATTAAGGCAGATTAAGATTCTGACATTACTTACATTCTATATTTGAAAATTTCTTATAGGTAGTTTGGCAGAAAATAAGCTTTAGCTTCATTACCAAGCGTGGTGCATTAAAAGTTGCAGCCTTATCCATACCTTACTTTTGAAGTATTGTTGTCCTCGACAGGAAATCGCATGCTACATGGGGTTGGAACTGGGGAAAATTAACATAAAGCGTTTTGCTGATGGTGAGATCTATGTCCAACTGCAAGAGAGTGTGCGAGGCTGTGATGTATATCTTGTGCAGCCCACTTGTCCTCCTGCAAATGAGAATCTTATGGAGTTATTGATAATGATTGACGCTTGTCGGAGGGCATCAGCCAAAAATATAACTGCAGTGATTCCATATTTTGGTTATGCTAGAGCTGATAGAAAGGTAAAAATCGCTCGGGGGGAAAGTATTGCTGAGTAATTAACCAGGGTGAAACTTAAACGCATGGCATTTATAGAAACAGGAGAAACTTCACATGACCACAGTACATTCTTAATTATGAAGGAACAGTTAGATTCTTCATTCTTGACCATTATTGAGATAACTGGTGAGGTTACTAAAGTGCTTTTTACACGTCTTTATTCTATTTCAGACTCAAGGGCGTGAATCCATAGCTGCCAAACTTGTGGCAAATTTGATTACAGAAGCAGGTGCTAACCGTGTTCTTGCTTGTGATCTTCATTCTGGGCAGTCCATGGGTTATTTTGACATCCCTGTGGACCATGTATATGGTCAGGTACTACACCTGTTTAGAACCCTACTCTTTCTCTTTATATGACAATTGCTCACGTGGCTTTTCAAGAAGCTGGTCACTTCATTGCAAATGAATGATTTTTGAATTTTGATCGACATGTATTGCTTCTAATATTGCATCATGTTGTCTTGTTAGTATAATACAGTGAATGAGCAACATTTCTACTTCTGATTAGTGTTTGTGTTCATTCTTTGGATTAACCAGCCAGTGGTATTAGATTACCTTGCTAGCAAGAGAGTTTGTTCTGATGACTTGGTGGTGGTATCCCCTGATGTTGGTGGTGTAGCAAGGGCACGTGCTTTCGCCAAGAAATTATCAGATGCACCCCTCGCCATCGTAGATAAAAGGCGGCATGGACACAATGTTGCAGAGGTAAGTCTCCAACGATGGGCTTCTCATGTGTTGCTATAGTAGTGCTTAGGCCTTACATGTCAAGAAATATAATTCGTAATTTTAGGTGTAGGAAAGTATAGAAGTGTTATTTATAGGGATTTGGATAGTATAGAAATCCTCTTCCCTATGGAGTTAGCCGTTAGCATCTACTTCCAATTTTGGTTTTGCAGTTTCTTTTCATGTTGTTGTGGGATCACTAGGACATGCACTTGCTTCAGACTCTTACAGCTGTTCGTTTGTGATGTCTATATCTGAATTGAAGGATAGATATAGAATGGAGTTTGTCAGAATGTACTATGTTAAAATCCTAGAATATTGACAAAATATCATTTCAATATCTTGTACCTTCTTGTAACAGGTTTTAGTAAAGTAATTCTGCTGCCTATCATCTTGTAGGTGATGAACTTGATAGGCGATGTTAAGGGAAAAGTTGCAGTTATGGTGGATGACATGATTGATACCGCAGGTGAGTTTGAGGAATCAAGCTAAGCTGGTTTCCTTTTACTACCTAATAAATTTATTTCCTATCATTAAGTCGAAAAAGCATTTTGTTGCATAAACCATAAACATATGATCTTCCCCTTCGTTTGTCCAGAAGTAGATCTTGTTCTGCCTAGAACCCGCTTTTCATTACTATTGTTTTCCATATGAAGAGCTTACAACACATGAATGCTTCTTATTGCAGGGACGATAAGTAAAGGTGCAGCTCTCTTGCACCAAGAGGGAGCAAGGGAGGTATATGCCTGCACTACACATGCTGTTTTCAGGTACGCGGGTTATTTATTTTTGGTGCGACATTCCTCCCCGTGGGAATGTCTGCCGGTGGATTATTTATGTTGGAATGCCTACTAGCATACTATAACTGAATCATCCAAAACTAGTTCACATGGTGATTTGATTCTGCCTGCTATGCAGTCCACCTGCAATCGAGAGGTTGTCGAGTGGTCTTTTCCAAGAGGTTATCATCACAAACACGATCCCGGTGTTGGAGAAGAACTATTTCCCTCAGCTCACTGTCTTGTCGGTGGCAAACCTCCTGGGAGAGACCATCTGGCGAGTGCACGATGATTGCTCGGTGAGTAATCATTTTGCCACTTCAAACAATGTTATGATAGTAATAAGAAGTCGCTTCAATACTCTCTACTACCTTGTTCAAGATTAAAAAAACACACACACAGTGTGTGTTACTTGATATAGATATCATAGACCAGAAAGAGTGAACATTTAATGTGATGTTTCTTTGTTACTGACAGGGTGGTTTTGAACCCTATTCGAGCCTCGGCATCGACTGACCCGATCAATCGATAACGGTGCGGTGACATACATTGGGAGTCCAACAATATAGTTGGGGCAAAATTGCTTTGCCCATACTGTCTTCCAAGAGTAGAGAAGCTGCTGTATGCTGCTGAGAACTGAATGGAATGGTGGTTGAAAATCGACTAGCCTGTAGCCTTGGTTTTGGTTTATGTGATGTTGTCCCTTAGACTGCCCAGAGAGGCAACGGAAAGGAAGTGTTGTCTCTTGTAAGTTGTAAGCTGTAACCATGAAAGCTACAGTGAGTGAGTGAGGTGTGTTTGTTTGTTGTACTATCATCACCAAACCATAAATGGAAGTGTATAAACAAGGTATGACATGTAGTCCCATAGATGAGCAGAGAGAATCAGTTGATCTCAATATAATATTGAATCTTATATCATATATCTCAATGTAGTTTATGCTTTTACGCTTTGTAGGTCATCTAAACGCTAACAGATAGAATCGTTTGTTTTTTCCTGTGATTTGTGCAATAACGTAGTCAATATCGCGGTTTGAAATTTACATTATTGTATAACCAAATTGCTTCTACGTAAAACGATTGCGACCGGCGTGAATCGTGATTATGAATAGAAAATTTTGGTTACTTTCTTGTAGTTTTTCAGTTTTTCTATTCATTAGGCCTGTCGACTTCGACGTTGACTGGTCGAACCATATCCCCTCATCATTTCTTTTATACAATCACACTACCCAAAACCACTTCTCACCATCACAACTTCACTTCACAGAAACTCAAAATCCGCCATGGCCAATCCATCTCCAACCTCACCGCCCAACCCCGACGAAATCACCCACGACTTCCCTCCCATCCTCCGCATCCACAAAAACGGCACCGTAGAGCGCCTCCTCGGCACCCAAACCGTCCCCGCCTCCCTAACCGACCCGAAAACCGCCGTCCAATCCAAAGACGTCCCTTACTCCACCACCAACCCAGATCTCGTCGCCCGGCTCTACCTACCCAAGCGAACCGAACCGAACCAGAAGCTCCCGCTCCTGATCTACTACCACGGCGGCGGATTCGTCATCGAGACGGCCTTCTCGCCGACCTACCACAACCACCTCAACGCCTTGGTCGACGAGGCCAATGTAATCGCCGTCTCCGTCGACTACCGGCGAGCCCCCGAAAGCCCGCTCCCGGTCGCGTATGAGGATTGCTGGGCCGCGCTGAAATGGGCCGGGTCACACTCCGATGGGCCCGGGCCGGAGGAGTGGCTCAATGACCACGCGGACTTCGGGTCCGTGTTTCTCGCGGGTGACAGCGCGGGCGCCAATATTGTTCACCACGTGGGGATAAGGTAAGCAGTGGCGGAGTGTCGTTTAGTTCGTGAGAAAGATGGAATACAAATAGTTACGATAGTTAGGTATCGGTGACATAGGAATCATAATCTCATCAATATTAGTCAGAGGTAAGATTAATCGGTGTGAGGCGTGATTAAGTGAAGTGAGTCGCGTTTAAGTGTACTAGTAGACCAAGAATTAAAAGAATTGTAGCTAATTTTTTTCTCAAAACTACGTCATCTCGATCTACCCTAAATTCAGCCCGTCCTTTACTCATTCCTCGATTTGAAATTGTAATTCTAGGTCATATGACTTGTTTTGATTATTGCCGAGGCCGCCGGGTTGGCTAAGTTATTAACATTTGAGATTGAATTAAAGTACAAAAGTGGCTATAAAATCTTTATTTCTGTTCGTTTTGTTGCAAAACCTGGGCTTCGCGCGCCTAGGTGTCTTTACAAGTTTTTTCATGATGTGAAATACGTTGTAAAAAAAAAACAACAGTAAAATGTCTGAAAAATTATCGTATGATATTTTTGTTTTGAATTCGAACTATTGTATATATATGAAATTCTGGATACGCTACTGAAGGTACGGGCGGGAAAAGATAGAGGGGCTGCCGCGGCTGGCCGGGTTGGTCCTGGTCCACCCGTATTTCGCGGGGAAGGAACCGGTCGATGACGACGAGGCGGCTCAGGTGCCCGATTGGTGGGAGAGGTTCTGGTTGCTGGCCTGCCCGACGTCGAAGGCCGGGCTGGACGACCCGTATTTGAACCCGGCGTTCGAACCGGACCTGGCCCGGCTGGGCTGCTCGAACGTGCTGGTTATGGTGGCGGAGAAGGATTTCTTGAGGGCGAGAGGGAAGCATTACTGCGAGCTGCTGAAAGGGAGCGGGTGGGAAGGCGAGGTGGAACTTGTGGAGGCGGAAGGCGAGCAGCATGTTTTCCACTTGTGGAATGCTGGCTGCGAAAACGCTGCCGTTTTGGTGAAGAAGATATGCTCCTTCATAAATAGTAGTAATTGAAGTTCATAATGTTTGTTTTTTTGGGTTTGGCATCGTTGACTCGTTGGGCAGTTGGATTTTATTGTCCATTTGTACTTTTGTAATAATGCATGATGTTAGCTCTCTAGCCTTTTTTTCCCCGATCTTGGTTTGTCCGTTTCGATGCATTAACCGGCGTAAAAGTAACGGAGGTTATACTGGAAAAATTTGATTATTAGATAATAAAATCGTGGGATAGTTATGATTTAATCTGTTTCATATCACTAAATTGCCTATCGTTTTGGGTTACAGAGAGACTCTAATACCATTCATAACATGTTGAACATTTTTTCGAATAAGATATTTATCCATTTCGGGTATAGACTCTCGCGACTTTTCACTACGGGTACATATCCAAAGTGAAGTGCTAGAGGTCACTCATACAATCATACTTGCATTGCTCTATAGTAAACACGTTTAATTTTAGAGTTCTTATACGAACTTTTTCCATTTGTAAGTTAAAGTGAATTTCTTCCTTATGAAATATAAATTTCTTTGGTACTAGATATTAACAAAGTCGGTTTATTTTGACATGAATATATAAATATAATAAAATTGGAAATAAGCGCACCAATATAATTTTTCCCACAATAAATCAGAGCGAAATTACTTGTCCATAGCACAAGCTTCCACGTATGACTTCTTTCTCTACGGACCACGGCCTCATTCTTTCTTCTTAATTTTTCTTCTTCTTAAATTTTCGATTGAAAATTAAAAGTATAACGGCTGGAAACAACTATCACTGTACACCCACTCACGTTTTACTATTCACCTAGACACAATTTACTGCTCATTTAGACCTAATTTTACTATTCACCGTTTTTTGATTGGCTGCTGCATTGAGATCTGTTTTTTGATTAGTTGTTGCCTTGAGATGGGCCATGTGTTTCCTTGGTTTGCATTGAGATCTGCTTTTGGTTGGGAGGGATCTCCCACTTGATCGATGAAGACACGCGTTGGCCACTGGTGGGCTTGAGTTGACGGGAAGTACTGCTTGTGGGCTAAAAGAAAACGCGCGTTGGTCACTGGTGGGTGGAATGGGCCCCGGTTAAATCATGGAGCAGTCTTGGGGTTGGGATGGGACAATAAATAGATCGCAGGAAGGCTTGATAGGTTTTCCCCACTCCTACTGCACATCCTCTCCTCAACCCACCAATGATGTGATCGTGGAGCCTCCACGTCCAAATTTTGGGACCTCAAGTCACCATCCGTCACTTTTGCGTTCTACTTTGGGAAGAATTCTCTTCTCCATCTCTCTATTCAAGTATGGAACACTTCTGCCAAAAAAAAAAAGTATTGAACACTATTTAGGGTTACTTCAGGGTCAGTGAGTGAATTTAGAGAAATCTATCTTTTCTTTTTTCGTTTCCAACACACACTTTCCTCTTCTTATCTTCTCATTATCGATCATCTTCTCTTCTCATTCTCTTTCATCTGGGCCATTTCATCATCCCTTCTGAATCTTGGGAACCGAAGTCATTTTTAATGTCGTCGTTACCCCCGTATGGTGGCCTAGAGAGTCTGACCTGCGGATTATGGTGAGATTTTGATCCTTTTTTGTTTTGAAGATGTATAGGCCGGACGGACTGATTGAGGGTTCGCCTTCGCGGCAAACGGTGAGCAGAGACATCGGTGAAGGTTAGTCTCACTTCTCCATGGCTGCCTTCCGTCTGTTTCCCTCTCCTCTCTGTCTCATGCTATCTATCTCACTTTTCTCTTTTCCTGATCGACTTTTGTTTGTTGCTTAGGAGGGTGACCCGGTGTTTTGGAGTTGACAATCAGCCTGAACTTGTGGGCCATCCAAGCGGGTAAGCAGGCAAGAGACGAATTAGAAGTTTGGAGCTCTCATCTAGAGAGAATGTCGGGAGGACGTAGTTCGTTGGTTCTTTTTGGCTTCATATGATTATTTCTGTTTCTGTTCCATTTAGGTGTTTTGGTTCCGAGAGATGCAATTGAGGATGGTTTGGTGTTTTTTGCAGACATGAAAGGTTTATCCCCATCTTTCCAGGCAGGAAATCACACAGCCATTACCTATTGTTCCCGAGAGCTTTAACATACAGGTCATAATCTTCCTCTCAGTCACGATTCACGAAGCCTATTTTATTTCTCTGTTTACATTGTGATTTTGCTCCCGGGATTTTTTGTTACGGGACCAGCAGATCTCGGCGTAAAGTAGGCAAATCCGTATATCCGTGTTTTGCATGACCCGTGAGGCATTGTTTTGATTTGATAGTGGGGTTTACTTGAATTTTTGTGCGATACAACCTCATTCTCTTATCTCTTCTCTGTTGCTCCCTCGCACAGAGCTAGGAACTCAAATGTCGAGCTCCTCAGCGGATACTTCTGTTGTTATGAGAATCTCTTTCTTCCGTTGCTGGTATATTATGGTTTGCTTTTGGGTTTTCATTGTGTGTCTGTAGGTGAGTTTTCATTGGACAATTTTTTTGGATAAGGGTTTTCATTCAACAATTAGCAATTGATTTTTTATAGCTCAGTAATTAGCAAATGTAAGATTCAGTAACTATTGTCCCGTGAGGTTATCCTTTGGGAAGTAAAGTTTTCATCACGATATTTCATTTAGGTATAGAAAGGTTTTAGTTCGTAGTTCCAACATGGTCAAAACATTTTGTACAGGACTTTTAATTGCTCTGTTGAAAATTGCATTGGTAAATGATAATCACTATGTACAATGCCAAAGCTGACAATCATATTTCATACATTTAGGGGATGTTTGGTCATATTTAATTGTTCCTCATTTCCCTTGCTTTATGTATATAGTATTTAAAGAGAACCTTAAGAACAATCCCCAATCTCTATTCCATTATTCATTGAGGGTTTTAGATGCTATTTCTAGGACCACAAAAGTACTCATGTCAATAATTATTGCTAGAAAAAAGAAGGTTCACAATATCATTCATTCCTGTTTTCTTTATATTGTGGTCATTTAATCTGCATTGAACGCTACTGTTTGTTTGGAGAAAAACTTGGGTGGGACAGGAGCACCAACTAGGATTGGTGATGTGGTGCACCCGCCCAATCCCGTCCCGCCATCTGTCCTGCATTAATTAGCATCTTTAAAATTAAAACTCAAAATCCTTAATTTCCTTTCTGCATTGTGGCCTGTGGGTTGCGGGATTAGGGAGACACGATACGGAGCGGCACGGCCTTTGCCATAGCTTGCGGTTTTAA